TCCATGGAGCTGACTGATACAGAATGTAAAATGGACAGTTAAAAAAAAAGAAGTTTTGACGTAAAACTATTTTCTTCTACCAGTCAAATGGTCTGATTTTTCTGACATAAGTAAAAACTCTTCCTCAACAATCAAGATAAAATGAGCTCAGATCTGATTTGAATCAACTTTCATGACGAACAGGTGGAGCTGCGCTGATTGCAAACATGAACGTTTCTCATATTCTGATTGTTCTGCTTGTTGGTGTTCAGATGTTCCAGCACCACGCATGGCAGGGATGCATAGATGTTTGCTTCTCATGCGTTTTAATCATCCGCTGATGACGGTCGGTCCACGCCGTCTCTGGGAACAGATCAAACAGTCAGCTCCAGTTTTCCAACTGGAACCAGAAACCTCCAGTGTCTGTTTTCTCTCTCCGGCCCAGATGTGAATCTGAGGCTGAAATCCTCAGATATCTAAAAGCTTTTCTGACTAGAGATCAACCCTCATCAGGCACCTCAAATCCAATTGTCTGACCTTTTAATTTTACTGTGGTAACCAGTCTGCACCCTTTCAGGTACTGGTCGACGGGGAGGTCAACACCGTCGTACTGGAAAACCTGAACCCGCTGACGGAGTACGTGGTCAATGTTTTTGCCGTGGTGGATGAGGTCAGCACCGAGCCTCTGAGGGGAACCGAGACCACCTGTGAGTGTCCCCCCCCCCCTCCTCTTCCTCAGACTGATGCAGCAGTCAGATTAATTAAAACCATCAGGAGCAGCTCCTTTCATTTGCTCTTTTCTTTCTTCTGTTATCCTCATTTCCAAATTTCCTCTAGCTTTACCGAGAAGGTTTCAGTTAACAGATGGAAAGAATGGTTGAAGTTGGGTGGAGGTTTGACAGGAGGTGGCTACTTGCAGATTTAATAACAAAAAGGGAAAAAGAAGCAAAATTCAAAAAGCATAAATCCAAAAAAATCCACAAAAACTGCGAACCAGTAATATTCACAATAAGGGGGCAATCAGCAGATTGGGAGCAGGTGTGAACAGAGGGGACTAGAAGGGAGCTAGGGAAGAGGAGACTGACAGGAGAGGGTAACAGAGGGCAAACAAGAAATACCCAAGAACTCAAATACAATCGTAAATAACTAGAATAACTTAAAATGAAAGTAAAACTAATGAAAACTCAAAGATGAAACTTAAACAGAACCGAAACCATGACAGTTCCTGTCTCCTCAGGGCATAGCTTCGGTGCACCCAGAGTTCTCCTGTACTTCTGTATTGCAGAGCACCTCCTGCACATGCGCAACTTTTAACAAGATTTTTGCACCCTAGGCTGGAAATACGACACAAATCCGACAAAAAAAAACACTAAAAAGCTTCACGGTCTGCGTTTAACCCTTCCCCCTGGGGAGCAGTGGGCTGCCATTGTGCGGCAGTGTGGGGTTAAGGTCTTGCTCAGAGACCCATTGCAGCCCGTAGGAGCCGGGCTTGAACTCAGAACCTTAGGATTCCAAGCACAATGCACTACACTGGAAAAAATGGAAATCTAGATAAGTAATCTTTTCTTGAAATAAGTGCATTAGTTCTTGAATTGAG